TTTCATATCTTAGCTATATTTATTGAGTTGCATATTTTCTATTCACTGTTATCACACACACTGTATTGAGCTTATAATATTTCCATACAATATATTGTTGGGTAGTGGTGTGTGATTTAGTGAGAGTGAGCTTCATTGTGTTCCCATTTGTTATCGAGAACAAATTATTGTATTTAACATTTATTGTGAATATCACTTGTAATACACTTGTACACCGAGAGAAGTGTGAGGCGTTAGATGGGGTCGAATCCAAAAGGAGTGACGTCGGTTGATGAACCTAGGGAGAGGTTGTATCCGAGCACTTGAGGAGGAGGACACGGGCTACGTTCCTACACTTAGTGTGTAAAGTGTGATTGCATAGTATTTGTTGTGTGAGAGTTTTCGGTAAACTTGTAAACCGAGTGTGTAGAAATTCCAGCTTTCAAACCAGATTGTGATAGTGGAGATCTCCTCGAGGTGAGGAGCGGGGACATAGGTCGCGGTGACCGAACCTTGTAAACATATCGTGTGTTTGTGTTTGGCTTAGCGTATATTTTATTTGTGCTTATTCATATCATTCTTGTTCATATCCATCTCATATATTTCTTGCAAGAACAAATTAATCAATATAATTTTAATTGGCATTTAATTGGGATTAGATTAGCATCAGACCCTAATCCCCCCCCCCCCCCAGGGTCTAACAGGTCTCTCTAGCCAAACTTCTCTCTAGATGGGGGTGAAGAGAATTAAAGAATGTAACCCTAGATTAGGGATCATAACCCCTTATTTATAGTTATTGTATTTTTATAATTTGGCTCATCATCAAATTATAATTACAACCTGATATCTGCACATTTAGCCAATGATTTATTTAAATATCTATTAACCCAAATTGATTGATCACTTTATGTGGGTTAGCCTTAAAGATAGCATTATATACTAATGTAACATATATGCTCATAATTAGATTTAATCCAACGGGCATAACCACTGCATAAAATATTGTATTACTACTAAAAATGCAGTTATGAATCTTGCATCAAAGTTTACAATGCATAAAATCAAAATTCGCCGTACTCATTAGCATGCGTTTGCTCCTCTCATTTCTCACCATAACGTCTAAGATCATGGCCTACCAAATTCAACAAAACTTGTCGCAAATCAATGGCACATTTTTGTGATGGATTTAACATTGTACTCATCAATATCTAGCTTCTCGTTTCAACTTTGGAAGAGCCGAAGAGCCAAAGAAGATAGACGTAGTCGTCCTCGAAGTTGTTGGCTAAAATAACATCACACGTAAACTGCTGCTTACACTAGAGTTAGATACTACGAATTTGTAGGATGAGATTGGATTGGTTGTAGTTAGCATTAGTCAACTAGGGACGTATCTAGTTGACCATAATAAGTGGACTTCCTTTTTTACCACTAGTTTGAATGGTTTCTCGTGATTAAATATTATTATTATTTCTTTTTTATTTATTTTTATTATAATTAAGTGAGTTTTTGTCTATTAATTCAGAGTTTTACTCTAACTTATTTAAAAGCCCACCAACTTTCATGAATACTTATAAACCCAATGTAATTCAAACCATTTATTTTAAGGGAAAATTGCTTCTAGCCCCCAAAACCATTACAAGTATTCCGCCCCTCCCCCAAAAGACTTTTTCAACGATCACAAAGCCCCCATATAACAGTATCTAATATTCCTTTAGCCCCCAAAACCCTTCCTCATGTGACCCGCTATTTAAAAACAAAAATCTTTCCCCAAAATGCCATTTGATTTAACCATTTCCCATTTATCAATACCATTTCTCGTCGATTTTGTCATCTCATCTCTCTTCTGTCCAAGCAAACCGACAATCCACATTGTAAAACCCTAACCCTAAATCAACCAACTTCAGAGCATAATCCTACTCCTGATCGAAAAAATGGCCAGCAAGTCAACTCCCAAAGCAGTCGTCCTAGTTGATTTCAGTGAAGACGACGATGTGTCATAGTACGTCGTCTTAAAAAGACCTTTGAGCACATCAGAGTGGACTGTAGCTAGCACATCAATTGCTGATGTTCTAGAGGACATTGTAGCTAGTCATTCTCATCCTGCAAGTCCAGTTCAACCCAAAAAGCCAGTCCAGCGCATAGATCTAGAGGGCAACACCGACACCGACGACGTCTTTAGAGCGCTCCTGGATCTACAGAGAGGACCTAAAGTGTGACGTCACTGGTTTCACATAAGGCTACAGTCAAAGGTGAACCCAAGGATGTCAAACCTGCTATGCACCCACACTGTGCATAACACATTTCGTCATCATAATAATATCTCTCTAGTGGAATCAAACAACAGGTATAGTTACAAAATAGCCAAATGAATGTAATAATGTAATGAACATGATATATAAAGAAGAGATATCTGGAAATAGTCAATAATCTTGTTCGCAACTGAAATACAACTGATACTAGAACAAATGTAAAATATCTCAATACATAGAGTCAATGGAAATGCTACTAAGGCACTTTGCCTGTTAAAAAATATAATACAACTCTAAATGTTTGAAAATAAATAATAAACTACTAATGTAAATAAAGATGGAGACTAAGCCGAAACTCCATCAACCTGCGACTCTCCGTGCGCTTGACTCGTTGCCTGAAAAGAGGGAAAATAACGAGCGTTAAAGCGCTAGCGAGATCATCTCCATCGCTCTCAGGGGGAGGGGGTTAGGAGTATATATGAAAATAAGTTAATACATATAAATATAAAACCATCTATCCTAAATTAAAAGATGATTGATATTTAGAAATCCACAACACGAGAGTTAGTACGTCGAGTGAAATACTCCAAACAAGAAAACCCTCATGTATATACCATGTCTCAAATTATGAATCGCTAAATCCTAACTCTAGGGTCCTAGGAATGAAACAGTAAATAAAATATACATAAGTACAGATCTCAACAATACAAGTCACATTAAATCCTCATACTACCCTTGGGTAGTTGGCGTAGTCATAAAGAATATCATCTGATACATTCATCTTATACATTCATCTTGCATAGAATAGGCTATGTATGATAGCCTCAGTATATACCCTACTCTCGGGTAACTAACAGGGAATCATTAAATGAAATCTGTGTAGTTCTCTATCTAGAAATATAATAATGCACATGGGGTGAAGTCTACCGTAGTCTCGTTGCAGTATACCGACTAACACACCCTGAGTGTAGTCTCCCGCGGTCTCGTTGTGGAGTGCCAACTATCCCACTCAGTAATGATGCACAACAGAGTGTAGTCTATTGCGGTCTTATTGTAACATACCAACAAACCACCTGAGCATAGTCTACTGTGGTCTCATTGCAATATATCAACTAACGCTCAAGCATCCGACTATCATGAAATGTAATATATGTCACTATCTGTCATGACAAATGCAAAGCTTAGACTACGTACCTCTAAACAGTCATGCGTGCTCAAATCCAATTCGTGTATCCTCGTAAAAAATGCACGTATCTTGATGTACAACACGTACTTCAGGTTCACAATCAAATGCTTATAAAGAAAATATACATTCACAACTCTACACTGATCAGTCAACCAAAAAATCCCTTCGGTCGATTGAACACGTGCACAAATGTGCACAAGACAAAACAAGTGGGATCGGTCGACCGACTCCTTAGCTTCGGTCGACCGACCCGAGCAAATGCTGAAATTGAGTTTTGGTTCACGTTTTAATCAACAAGGCTACAAGTTGCTAATTTTGCATGAAGACACATAAAATAAATCTTATTTAATGTGATTAGAGTTCAGTTATCTACATGAAACACAAACTTGATATCTAGTTAAGTTGTCTAAACCCTAACATGTTCATATTCATCAAAAATATCATGGAAACCAATAAAACTCAATGAAAACTCATATTAAATTTTATTTCAGATCTTAAATTCACATTAGAGAGTTTGTTTATAACTTTTAAAGCAAAAAGATCGAATCTTTATATCATATACCTTACGAGAATAATATTCATACTTAAACTAGGTTTAAGGCTCAATAAAAACCAAATAAAACTCAATAAAAAATCAATTAAAAATGGGAATAGGATTGGAGGAGATGAAACTTGCCTCAAAACACTACTGAAAAACCCAAGGATGCAAGTAAACAAGTTCTCCCTCGCCAAACACCGACAATCTCACCCAAAAACAAGAAACTAAGTCAGATTAGGAAAATAGTCTTTGATATTTTGACTATAACTCCTTCGTCCGACCTCGAAATGAGGTGATTTAAGATGTGATAGAAAGATATTGAAGAGACCTACGACTTCTGTATTTTGAGTTTTTCTAGATTCAAATTTCATCGGTTTATAATGCATATATACTCTTAATTAGTCGTTTTTCCAGATTTGAATTGTATCGGTGTATAATACATATATACTCTTAATTGGTCACAAATCAATTACTATTATGCTCATTCATCATTAAATGATATTTATAATAATATAACTCATTTAATACTATTTATCCTAGTATTTTTCAAAAAAATATGGGGTTTTACATTCATCCCCCTTAAAAGAATTTCGTCATCGAAATTCTACAAATGTATATTTAGAAATTAATAATATGAGAAAAACACGTTGAAGGAATAATCTAGACAAGGAAACCCTGACATACACATGTTTTATTATTAATCCTAATATTTGTATCATAAACAATATTTACACTTAACGATCTAGAATGCCAGTACTCTCATTTAACCCCTAATTAAACGGAACTAGTACGCGAGTGAAAAATCCAAATAAGGAACCCCACTTGTATATACCATATATTCCAAATGATTAGGAGCTAAGTGTTAATACTCACATTCTAGTGTTAAATGTAAATGTGGCTATACCTATAACATAAACTCAAACAATCAAAATTAACATTTTACCTGCTCAAATAGGTATGGGTAGTCGCGACGCATATCTTCCTCACGCTCCCAAAAAGCTTCCTCTGCTCCTTTCCTATTCCACTATACTTTCACTAAAAGAATCACCTTATTTCCATGTATTTTATCCTCTCGAGCAAGAATATGAACTGGGGTCTCAATGGTAGTCAAATCAGCCTGAATCTCTAAGTCTGGTGCATCAAACACTCTCTGCTGCTCCTTGTCACGTAAATACTTCTTAAGCATCAAAACATGGAAAACATCGTGAATATCCGACATCATTGCTGGAAGATCGAGTCGATACAAAACAGCTCCAACACGCTCAACAATCCTGAATGGATCGACATATCTCGAGGCAAGCTTTTCCCGTCTGTCGAATCGCTAAACACCCTTCATAGGTGACACATTCAACATAACACAATCTCCAACTTGAAACATAAAAGGTCGTCACCTCTGATCAGCATAGCTCTTTTTTCAACTCTGAGTGGTAAGAATACGCTCTCAAATTAATGCTACCTTCTCCATAGTCTGTCTCACGAGCTCTGGCCCAAGTAATAAGCTATCATCCTACTCTGCCTAACAAATATGGATCTACACGGCCTCCAGTATAATGCTTCATAAGATGTCATGCCTATAGTTGATTGGTAACTATTACTGTAGGCAAACTCGATCAATGGGATGTGATCCTCCTAACTACCCTGAAAGTCGCTGAAAGTCGATAACATATGCCCACAATATGTCCTCCAACACTTGGTTCACTCTCTCCGTTTGACCATCTATTTGCGGGTGGAAAACGCTGCTATATGGTAGCTGGCTACTGAAAGAATTTTAGAAGCTCTTCCAGAAATGCAATGTGAAAACTAAGCTACGATCCGATACAATCGTTTCTGGAACTCCATGCAATCGTACAATCTCCCGGATAAAAATCCTCGCATAAGTCTCTGCCGTATAAGTCGTCCTTACCGGTAAGAAATGCACCGACTTCATCAATCGATCTACAATCATCCAAATTGAATCATTCCCTTTATTAGATCTTGGCAAACCTACAATAAAATCCAGTGAGACATCTGCCCACTTCCACTCTGGAATGGGTAAAGACTGTAGGGTTCCTGTGGGTCTCTGATGTTCTACCTTCACTTGCTGACAGGTAAAGCACTTAGCCGCATACTCTGTAATATCATTACGCATGCCGCTCCACAAAAAATGCCTCTTTAGGTCCTTGTATATTTTGGTTGTGCCTGGATGCACTGTGTACCTGGTACGATGTGCCTCATCAAATAGATCATTCTTCAACTGCAGAATATCTGGCACCACTAATCAGCCTTAGGCTATTTGGAAACCTCCCCTTTCAGGTTTGAATCCAAGAGTCTCCTGACTGAGCGCTGACCACTCTATCAATCCACGATGGATGCACGACTAAAACTCCCAAAAATGTACTGCTCCCACCTATCTCTGGCCTAAAATCGAACTGGTTGAGGGTAAGAAGATCTCGATACAACAAACACTGCAAAGCTGCAAGCCCATGATGATGCTTCCTACTCAATGTGTCTGCTATGATGTTTGCCTTTCCCGGATGATACTGAAGCACGAACTCATAATCCTTGATGAACTCTATCCATCGCCACTGCCTCTGATTGAGTTCCTTCTAGGAGAAAAGATACTTCAAGCTCTGATGGTCGGTGAATAACTTGAGCCGAACTCCATAAAGATAATGCCTCCATCTCTTAAGTGTGAAGATCACTGCTACTAACTCCAAATCATGTGTGGGATAGTTTTACTCATGAATCCCTAGCTGCCGTGAGATGTAAGCTACTACTCTCTGGGCCTACATCAAAACGCCTCCTAGACGCCTCCTAGACCTGATAACGATGCGTCCGTATAAACAAGAAATGTCTTATCACTGCTCGGGATGATCAATACTGTTGTTATAGTTAACTTAGTCTTCAAAGTCTCGAAAGCCTTCTGGCATTCCGGTCCCCAAACAAACTGTCCATCCTTCTTCGTACGGCGTGTCAACAGGGTAGAAATTTTCAAAAAATCTTGGATGAACTTTCTGTAATAACGGGCCAAATCCAAAAAGCTATGAATCTTAGTAACAGTCTTTGATGGCTCCCAATCAAGAACTGCCTCTATTAGCCTTTATGTTTTGATGATGATTTATAACCACCATTATTGGTACTAATTGCTTGTTAAGTGACATTATAGATTATAATAATTTCAAGCATGTTAGTACCATTATTGGAGGATTGGATGGAACTACAAGCTAAATTGATGATATCCAAGGAGATGGAGGCAAAGTGATGAAGCAAAGCTTTCAAAGAGCACAACATACATGAGAAGCTTCATCAATATAGAAGCAAATATCAAGACTCAAGCTATGTACTTATATGTGAGGGATATTTGCATTTTTATTTCTCTCTAGTGCTTAATGTAGGCAAGTAGTATGATAGATTACATTTGAAGTTCTTGGGAATTTCTCTCTAGTGCTTAATGTAGGCAAGTAGTATGATAGATTACATTTGAAGTTCTTGGGATAACACACACACATTTACAAAACTCGTATTTTGACATTTTTGCTAAACATTGAGTTTTCACAAATATGAGGTCCTTTTTTGCAAAACTCTTTTCAAACAAGTTTGTTATTATATTTGAAAACCATTCCCAAAGTTTTATATTTTTAGAATTTATTTACTATTTTTAAAAGCCCTAGAATTTTTCAAAAACAAAAAAAATCAAAACAGGCTAAAAAATTGTTATCAGTCGACTGATGCAAAGGATTAGTCAACTAAAGAAATTGGCCAGAATCATCAAAAATTTCTTCTTTTACAACTGATAATCTATCAGTCGACTAATGAATCCTTCAGTCGACTGATAAGCTCTTCAGTCAACCGACGAGCTGCAAACCTCTTACAATGATTAGCTCATCAGTCGAATGACGAACCCCGTCAGTCGACTGATAAGCTTCCAATTGATAGTTTTGTCATGTTTTCAAATTTTTTGGTTTTGAATGTTTTTTGTGTTTTTGTTTGGTGATAGGGCTGATCTCTTGAATGCTTATAAATACCCAGCTACCCCATTCATTTCAGTAGTGAAGAAATCCTTGAGAATTTATTGAGTTTGTGTCTTGGTGTTTAAAAAGAGCTTCAACTTTCAATTCTCTCAATTTATTTTCACACTTACAAATCCCAAGATCTAATTGCAATCTCTTGATCTTGCCATAGGACTGTTGTAAAACCCCAAAAATTTGTGATATATATATATAATTAATATGTGATTAATTATGATATATGGATTTTTATTTTGATAAATACAGTTAAATGGTATGTGAGTAGTATACTATGTGTTTTGAGTATAAACAAGTTCTTTCATGAGAAAAGAGTCAAAACATGCACAATGACCAAATATATGAGGAGCTGGAAAATTCTAGTCCGGTCGATCGTCGCGGTTGACCGCAGACGGTCAACTACAATGGTCGACCGCTAGACCTGCAGAAGCTTTTCTCTTGTTTTGAGTTGGTTTCGGTTTTCTAAAGCCCATATTTATTTTCCTTGGTTTATATATCAATCTTTCATGAATTTTTTTAGTTTTTCTAAGAACCCTAACAGTCACCAAACCCCCATAAACCCTAACTTGATTCTTAGAGAAGATTGGAGGCTTTTGAGCGGGATTTCGTGTGGTTTTTGGCTTTGGGAGTGGAGATCTTCTTTAGTTTGGCATCTTAAACGTTTTTCTACAAATCTCAAGCGAGTTCATCTCTGCTAATCCCCTCCTAGTTTTTAAAACGTTTTGAAAGAGTTTTTAACATGTTTTATAGAGCCAAATTGACTAGTTTATGAATAAAAGTCAATTCTTTTGTATTATATGTATAAAGACTAGGTCTTTCCAGGTGAAAAGGTTTGAGAACAAATCTATAGAAGATATTTAAGATCTGAAAATGATTTAAAAGTTGTTAAATCTGAAGAAATATGAATTGTTCTTTGTTTCAAGTTCTTATGCATGTTTTCGGGTTTTAAATATGAATTTTTATGCACATAATCATGTTTTATATATTGTGTTGCTCCTAGAAGTTTTTATCTGCTGTTGACATGTTTCCAAGCAAGATTCTTATTGTTTTAATCATGTTTGAATTACCTAAACACGGCGTGAACACAACACACAAAACCAGATTTAGAATCTGGAATTTTAGCCCACGGTCGACTGCGCCTTAGTGGCGGTTGACCGCATGTAGGGAAGAGGCCTGGGTAGGCCCTGGAACCCGTCGCGATCGACCGCCGCATAATTACAATCGACCGCCAAACTGTGTATCAGCCTATGCATGTTTTGTTCGATTGTTTTGGTTTTCAAGTGAGCCTCTCGACCTTGTACTACTATAATACAATGTTTATGAGTTGTTTAACACTCGAGATGTCAGTAAACACCAGATATGGATACACACACCGAGACATGTGCACGTATATTTAGAATATGTTGTGTAGTCATACCTTTGTCCTAATTTAAGTTGATAAATATGAAGAGTATAGTAATTTTATGTTTTCGGAATAGGAAGATGAAACCTATTTCCGCAGAATAATTGAGTAAGAATATTACAAAAGTATTGTCATATTATGTATACAGAATGGGGAAATAAAACTCCTTTCCATAGGGCTATTGAGTAAAAACATTACAAAAGTATCGACATTTCATGTATCCGGGATAGGAAGATAAAACCTATTGCCGCAGAGCGATTGAGTAAGAATATTACAAGAGTATCGCTAATGTACATGAGATGCACACTTGTAAGTATTATAAATTGTAGTTTTGCTTCCATTTTGAATACCCGTAAGTAGGGTGTTTTCTCTAAGACCGTGGCTTACACAACAGGGCTTGTGGTTAATCTTTATTTTGGATGAGTTTCTCTTATGTTAGATCTGTCTACCCGAATGTAGATCAGGATGAGATATTTGTTCTACAGGTTTGAGGTTTGGAGTGTTACCTTTTTGTTTATTGTTCTATTTCATTCATAGAGTTTGGAATTAGTATTTAGGAAGTCACAATTTGAGACATGGTATATACATGAGGGTTTCCTTGTTTGGATTATTTCACTCGACGTACTAACTCTCGTGTTGTGGATTCCTAAATACTAATCTCTAGTTAGATTTATATGAATGATTTTATACTTATATATTGTCTGTATTTTCTACGTACTCCTACCCCTTCCCCTAGGGAGAGGTGGAGATGATCTCGCTATAGCGCTTTGATGCTCGTTATTGTCCCCCTTTTTAGGTAGCGAGTCCAGCACA